TATGTATTTGAAAAAAGGCTAATATATAGAAAAAAAAGGTTCTTAAAGCTCTAAAAGTGTTTGGTTTTTTTCCATTCCATTGGAATCATATTGGTTTTGTAGCATTTAACATAACTAGTATGTTGTATTATATATATGTGTATTATACTGATTGAAATTTTTAACAGATTTGTACTTTTTTTAAAATGAAAGTTGCTAGTTCTGCTTGACCAAGTAGTGCAATCATTATTTTTTTTAATGTTGTGGCTGATTTTGAGAGGGATATTCACTAATAAATGTATGATGTATACCAACGTGCTGCGCCCTGGCTCTTGTCTCCGTATGGGCAGGTGGAGGCTCATGGTGGGGGGGCCACGGCGCGTCACCTGGGGGATTTTTGCCACTCGGGGGGCCCCCAGCCTGCCACCAAGCACGTGGTAGCTGGAAGAGCCCCAAAGAGGGTACTTTGAGGAGAGGCCGGGGTGGAAGTTAAGAGCAGGCTGGGCCCTCTGCACCAGAGGGGACTGCAGTCCAGCAGCACTATGGACCCCCTCACTCCCACCCAGCGATCCTTTGCCGCAGTCCTGGATCTAGCAACACCAGCAGGGCACCTTCTACCTCTCTTACAGCCCAGCGCTCCACCATGCATGTGCCTAGCCAGGGGAGATGTGATCCCTGGGCAGGAAACCAGCACAGCCATGCTAGCCCCAGAGAGCTTCACCAGCCCCAGGCTGAGCAGCACAGACACATCCCCCTACACATGACAGACAGAGCACAGGAGCTCTGGCTCCCCAAGGCTAAACGCAGGGTTGCTACTCCCCAAACCATGCTGCTCCAGGAGGCTCCACAGCCAGAAAGGGAAGAGCTCCTCCTTTGAGAGGAAAATGAAGTATCTCTTTTCCCTATTGTAAAAGCCATACCAGGCCTTGGAGCTACCAGGAAAAGAGGATGGCTTCCCAGACCTCACAGGCTTCAAAAATGGTGGGGTTGGAAGGAGCTCCCTGCTCCACTCTGTGCTGCATGCAGTGTGCATGGTGACATCTCCAAAACAGGTGATGAGCAGGAGGGAAAGAACAGGCTCCTGCCACTTTTCCCTTTGGGCAGGAGCTGATGGCACCACTCCACAGCCAGGACCAAGCCTCTGGGTGGAAGAAACCAAGGCATGCACCCACCCTTCTCCACACTGCACCTTGCCTGTATTTTTTTTTTTCCCACCTCTAACTTGATCAGGGAGGGCTGGTTCAGTCCTTTGAGCAAAGGAAGGGTTATCTCCCTCCTGCCCAGCCTCACCCCAGAGTTCATGCCACAGGCAGGCAGCACAGCAGCAACACCAGCACTGCCCTCCATCACAATGCACACACCATCTTACACCAACGGCTCTGCTGGCACAAAATTACCAACCCAAGGGCAGAAGCGAATTGTACTCACACTGGTGTGAGCAGTAAATTCCTGCAGAGCCACAGCAACTGGAACCCCCCTCCCTGGTGCTCAGCTGTGGCAGGGGCCCAGGCAGAAAGCATTGGCACAGACATGCTAGAGGCAGAGTTTATTACACTACACAGGCTAAGAACCCTGGGCACAACCCCACACGGGTAAGAATCGAACCAGCTCTTTATCAAAAAGTTAATACTATGGTCAACCCCCATTCTCCTTTGGTCATTACAAAGCAAGAGAAATATTAAAAGAAAGGTATTTATACACAGAGGGAAGCTGAAGAGGTTCCATCCAGCCTCTCCCCCCCACCCCACTCCCAGCACATTCAGGTGCCTGGTCTTCTGGCTGGCAGGAGCAGCAGAGTATCAAATCTTCACAAGATGTCAGGTTGTTGGGGTTTTATTATTATCGTTGTCAATAAAAGCAATAATTACCAAGAGCTGCCATTCCTGTTCCTCCCCAGGAAGGGTGGAGGGGCAACACCAGCTCCCCTCCCTCTCTGCCCTCCAAGTGTAGGGGATGGCTGTGCACACAGGTGTGTGAGGACGTGCACACACTTCCTCTCGCCAGCACACACACACAGCACAGCTGGCACAGGCGATGTGGTCTCTGATCCCTCGTTTGTATGCAGTCTTTTAAAAAAAATATTGTATTATAATAATAATATGAATTTCTCTTTCCATTTTGTGTCTTCTGGAAAAGTGTCAATCGTCCGTGAGGTCCTGCACAAAGAGGACTTCCGTGTGGCTCAGTCCGGCCTCCTGCAGCGTGGGTGGGTTGGGCCACTCCTCTGTAGGGAGGCACGGCAGGACACGGCGAGGGAAGTTGGCCTCAATCTGGAACTTTTCAGGGCTTTCTTTCAAGGAGAACAAGAAGTCATGGATCACCTGGGAAGGAAGCACAGAAATAACTGCCAGCTCAGGGAGCAATGACACAGCCAGGCTGCATCCATGGCACCTCACAGGGGGGAAGGTTACCAATTGGCACCATCACTGAATTGTGGACACAAGACGGCCATTTTCTTAGCTCGCAGGGAACAGGACTTGTCCCACAGTACTTGGGGAGTCCCAACACTGTTTCTGGCTCTTCCTGCACCATTATTTAATAGGGAGCAACAAGAGTCCCAGCTTTTCAGGAGGAGAAAAAAGTTTCTTCTATTTTTCTCTCTAATCTCTCTCTCTCTCTCCTAAGCTGGTGGGACCAGGACCCATGACACCTTCCTTACCCAGGAACAACTCTGCCTGCTGAGCCTCTTGGCAAAGGTCTCCATTTGGCAAAGTCCAACGGAACCAAAGCTTTGCTGAGCCACCTGGAGAATCCCTTGACCCTCCCTTTAACTCTGGAGGACCATCAGCTCTGCCCCAAGCTCACCGTCAATGACTGTGTGAAGTGGAATCGCCGCTCCACTCTGGAATCGTTAGGCAGCTTGAAAATGATCTTAACACTCTCTGGGTCATCAGGATGTGGTTCAGGAGGAAGACATTCAGACTTCCGCTCCTTCTCCTCTTGCAGTGTCTGCAAAGTAAGGAGGGAGCAGGAGCAATGGGCGCACACATCAAACTGGCCTTTCTGCTTGCCCCTTGCAGCACAGCTGCACCAGGAGGCTCAGAGGACACTCAAGCTCCAAGCAAGACAAGCAGCTCCAATTGACAGGAAAGCCCTTCCGCAGGCACTGCTCCCACAAACACAAGCATCCAACAGGGCACAGCAACCTCTCCAGCAGTCAGTTTGCTCTCACCTGTCGCCGCCTCTCCTCTGCTAGTTTTTGCTGCTGCACTTCTTCTTCCTTCTTCTTCTTCCTCTCCCTTTCTTCCTTCTTCTTGCGCTCCTTTTCCTGGTCCGCACGCAAGGATGCCAGATATGCCTCATCCTGCTGCTGCCTCAGAACTTGGGTTTGGTTCCTCTCCTCCCTGCAAATGTGAGCAGGGAGCAGTCAGGGCTAGCAGGCCCTGAAGTGAAGGCATGGCAGGCTGAGGGCAGACTTGAGGGTGCAGGGACAGCCTCGGAACTCATAGGAGTGCACACATCAGGCAATGCCTCATTTCGAGCACCATGAGCTTCTAAAGCCGAGTCTCCACAGTCCCTAGCACATGACCTGTTCCCTGGGTTGAGTGGAAATTAATGGAACACAAAAGACTTCTCACCCGCTGCAGCCTGACAGCATGGACAGACAGCACAAAAGCAGTGCCCAGGATTTCTGCCTTGTACTTGAGACTCTTTACGCTTTTATCTCCTTCAGGTAATTCCTTGCACATTTCAGAAACCAGAGGCCATCAAAACGTGTTCCTGGGTCCCCTACAGAGACCATGGGCCAGAGGAGGGGCAAAGAAGACCAGAAGGTGGCATCCTGCTTCAGACACAGCCTGCAAATCCCTACAGAGTTACCAGGGATCAGAGCTTGTGCTTGCAAGGCACAACCAGAAACAGTCCGAATTCAGGACAGCCAGCCCCCGCAGCAGCACTCGCTCACCAGCTGCCTGTGGATGCCAGCTCTCCTCCTGCCTGCAATGCCTTTGCTCCCACTTGCCATTATCCAAGCTTTACCTGCAAAGCTCCAGCTGCTACAGGTGTGCTCCAACTGTGGAAAACAGTAGAGCACTCACACCCACCTTTCAGTAGCAGGCCTGCATGGGTAACACATCCAGCTCCTTGGCTACAGGGTAGCCTGAATTTATGGACCAATGATCCCACTGGGAAGAGGAGAGCCCATGGGCTACATTACAAAACAGGAGATGCTGAGCTACCTGCCTACATATGGTGTCTAGAGGGAGGCAGAGGGCGGAGCATAGCCCACCTCCACAAGGTCTGCAGTACTGGAGCTCAGGTCCCATCATACCTTTCCAGGCGTTCAGACACCAGATACGTCTGGTTGGCATCCATGATAAACATCAATTGATTAATGAGGTCATCAGCCTGGATGAGGCCTTCTAGCCGTCCAACTACTGTCATTCTGCGATCCTTCAGCATAATCACGGCCAGGAATGGGTACGTGTTCTCTCGCAGAGCCTGGGAGACTGGGAAACAGGCACAAATATCACCTTAACTGCACCATCCAGAAGGGTCAGCAAGGGGTACAGCACAATGCTTTCCATCACCAAGGGCCTTGGAAAGCAGCTTCCACAGCCACTATTCTCTTCCAAGGCAGAAAAGGCCTCAGGCTCCATTTTGTCAAACTGAACCCAACAAATTTGCAAAGGGAGGAAGGGGGTGGGAGCATAGAGACTGAGGGGAAAAAAATAAACAAGCTTTCAAGTAATCAAAAAGGTTCTTTAATTCAAGCAGGAAGCAAATTGCTCTGAATATCCATTCAGAATAGGAAAAAAAAAAGCCCTGAGTTTAAATTGCTGGAAGAGAAACACAGGTAAAGCACAAGGAAACACTTGCTAAGACAAAACACATGCTAAGGATGGCTGGGCTCTGGAAGATACTGTCATAGGGAAGATGGCAGAGTGTCCATCCTGGACATTTCTGAAGAAAATTAGGTTGTTTCTGCCAGAGGCAGGGAACGGAGCAGATCAGGGGCTTTTAAGTTACTATTCACCTATGGCTGCTGATCACCTCCTCAAAACATGCATGGCACATGACACAACTCAGAGCCATCATTACCCATGAAGCCTTTCAAACTAAATCAGAGCACCTTGTGGATTAAATAAAAGGCCACGATCCCTTCCAGCTCTGCTTTCTAGGCTGTGACTCCAAGGCATTGCAGCAGTGAAAGAACAGTAAGTAAAAGAACATCTCCTTAGAAAGCCACTCTTTCAAGGTGTTGATAGCTGGTAGCTATGAAGCCAAGAATGACTCAGATTTAGCACCAGAACTCCTGGCCTCTCCTGCCATGAAACAGGGAGGGTCAGAAGCAACACAGGAAGCATGAACAGAACTTTGGGAAAAGGTTCCCTACCAACATGCTGGCAGGCCAGGTACCAACAGCTCTGGAGAGACAGTACTTAAAAGGACCTCACTGTGGACTTTTGAGGAGACAGAGAGACTGGGTGTGGAATGAAGATTAGTGTCTCAGGGAAAGAATGCACCTAACAAGTCACTCCTGGCCTCAGGCGTAATATGAACCAGTGTTAAGTGCACAGCTAGTTAGATACTTGTTTCTGCACTCAGTTTAATCCTCAGCACACACCCACCAACTCCCATTAACTAGGCACTGAAAGCAGCTTGAATGCCCACAGCAAAAAGCACGCAACTAGGACTGCACAGAAACCTAAGAAACAGTGGAGCTTAAGAGCAGAAGGCATTGCCCTGGCATCAAAACAGGTCCTCTGAGATATCACACGGAAACCAACTCATATTTCCCCACGCAATCCTGAAATCTCTTGTCTGCTTGCACAAAAACCAACAGTGTGTTTCACAAATTTCTCAAAGAGCATTTGGCTTGTTCCAGAGACAAGAGGGGACAGCTAAAGCCCAGGAGAGACACACTTACCTCTGTATCCCTCTGGTTTATTGGTTGAGCAAGCCCAGAAGAGCATTCTAGTGTTTATGAGGGTGATCACCTCAGGTACGCACAGTGTATTGCTAGGGGACAAGAAGAGATCATGTGAATGAAGCTGCATTTAAAGCACAAAGATAATTATTGTGAAAACTCTACCTACCGGCAGAATTCATCTGTGTCTTGGTGGTCATCTCCATGAAGATAAACCAACAGGAAGCGCAGCTCCCGCTTGGCATCGTTCAGTGCCTTGGCATAAGAACAGAGGAGGTAATTACAAGGTGTCTAGGCAAGGGGGAAAGCAACACCCGCGAGACTTGTGCGGCGCAGCTCAGCAACACCTACCCAGGCCATTGCTCTGCCACCACCACGGCTTTAATGAAGCAGCCGTGGAGGAAGAACCTGTCAGACTTTCTGACTAAATCCACAGGGCTACAATGGTGTTTTCTCACACTCCTTTCAGGATGTGTCTTTGGAGAACACTGAACTCGGAGCAAAGCCAGGCAGGCAACTGCATGGATTGACACCCCCCACCAGACGCAGCTGGCAGTGAAGAGCCCTCCCTTCATCCCTCAGACTCACAGCAGACAAGGCCAAGCTTTCCACCCTAGCCTGTACAGGACACAATCTTCAGATCACTTCAAAGGAAAACACCACTAAAAGATAACTCAACAATGCTGCAGGTCCCAACAAAACAAAAAAAAACCCCAAAAAACCAGCAACCCCCCCTCGTTTTACATCTGCAGTCTCTGGATTCCACCCACCCAAGAGCATTTCTTAACAAGACCACAGGATAGGCGCACAATAGGCTCCCTGTTTTACTGGCACGGAGTTTTGGGTAGCCTAACCAGTCCGTGGTTATTTAAGTCTGGATTCCAGGCAAGATAGAGGGGCCAAGAATAGCTGCAGAGGCGGCAAGCTCCATGGCTGTGCAGCGTGGAACAAATACAGACTCCACATTCTTCTCTGGCACTAGGGAAGCAGTGCTGATCCAGCTGTCTGCTGGGATGCACTGCAGGAGGCCCTTCCCTTGGCTAGGCTGAGAGCAGCTGCAGAAGAGGCAGTATCCATTGGGACGTCCCTCTTCTAGAGAGCACCATCAACCCAGATGCAACATATGGAACTCTCGTGTCCCATCATTTCTTCAGGGGCTTCCTCTCTCAGTTTTGAGGTCCTGCACCAAGTTCTGGCATTGTATTATAATACAAGCCCAGGCAGTCAACCCCAATTTGGTGAACAGAAGGGACAGACTCTGGCACCTCACATCAGTTTATTAAAAAAAAGGCGGCATTACAAAGAGAATAGCTGTTGGCTACAGAGCCATACTGACGGTTGAGGAACAGTCAGAACAGCTTTGCTTTCCAACTTTGCAGGCTTGGCATTATCAAGCCTGGCAGACCCTGGTTTTCCAATAACTTGTTCACTAGTTATCTCCATCACCCTGTTAGAGAGTTTGGGGACAAACACCAGGCTTTCCAATGAAAAGCAATTTTGCCATGTAGGCCCTGACACCATCTGGCAAAATCCCCACTCTACTTTGTCCCCAGGATCTATGCACCAACATGTGACACTGACCTGGCTGTAAGTTCCCTGGTAGAAGACAGGGTGTATCCTCCCATATTTTTCCTCAAACATATGAATAAACGAAACAATGTCACCCACTGGGTCAGTGACCCGACTACGAGGATCAGGGCGTATAAAACGCAGAGCAAACCTAGGAAGGAAGCAAAGGACACTGGAAATTCAGCTTACTGACTTTCTGAAGAACAGGTTTTCTTTTCCACAGACAGTCACTGGTATTCATAAGGAGGAAAGAAGTCACAGCTGAGACCCCTGAAGAACATTTATAACCACAACCTAAACTGCCACCTGTTCCAAACTGATATCATTGCTACAGAAACCCCCCAGTCAAATATTATCTCACACCAGACACCAGCAAGTATCTGAATTCTGGGTGATTAACAGTTTTGACTTCCTCTGAAGCATCATGCATCAGCCACACCAACAGTGTGAGGTTTGAGGAGTTTAGTCAAAGACAGGCTGTTAAAAGCTACACAGTTTTGTCCAGATAACTTTGAAGACTGCATTTCTGCTATTCCAAGACTAACAATTCCAGAGTGCAAAGAGCTGCAGAAAGAGAACGTTACACTAGGAGTCCAATGAAGACAGAAGAAACAGTCATTCCTCAAAGGATCAAAAAGCTTAACTGCAAGGCAGATATTGATGTTGTTTAGTTCTATTGATGCGTAGGAGTTACGCTGAACTTTGGAAAAGTCTTTAAGGGGAAAAAATGTAACACAACAGGGGAAACTGCCAAAACAATGCAGACTGCAGAACTGCTGGGTATTTATCACCTTTCAACATTCCCTTTTCCTCTAGCAAAGCTGTAAGGAGGCAAGACAAACTCACCCATAAAGGGAAAAGAGGCAACAGACACCAAAGGGGAAAAAGCAGAGGTGTTTACAGTTCCGATTTTGCCAAGTAACATCCAGGGATTAGGGCAGGTTAACCTGCAGCTCAGTCCAATGCGACATGATCCTGATCAAGTTGTTTGTCCAAGAATATCAGACAGTCTGACACTGCTTTGCATCCCCTTTGTGTGGCACTCAGACTGTAAAGCCACACGGAGTTAGAGCTCCAATTAAACGTTTCATTTACAGAGCTGCAAGATGCTTTTTCTCTGCAAAAAGATTAGTTTCTTACTAAACAGTGCAGGAACTTCACAAGGCTACAGATAAAGCCAGTTGAGCAAATAAATGGAAAATCTGCCATTAGACTTAGAGATCCAAGTGACAGAGGTACAGCCAAATCCAAGCCAGAGTGTGCCTTGATGCAGTGAATACATGAGTCAGCACAAAAAAGCACTTACCTAAATATATCAAGTAATGTGTAATAGGTAAATCGGAATGGAAGCATTATGAAGTAGTAACCCCATCCTAACAAGCCCTGCAATTACAAACAAAGAATTAGAATGGTCTCCACCCCAGGACCGGGCCTGCTAAAGCAAAGTGTCCACAAGCATCAAGCACACATGGGAGTATCGGTGCTCTAACCACTGCAAAAAGCTCAGCAATATTTCATGGCTTTGAACATGAAAAATCAAATTTCAGTGACCAACACGTTTCATTCAGAATTCAACAGGACCCGTCCGAAAGCCGGCATCACTGACTACTCAAGCAGCAATGGTTTTGCTCTACGTTAATTTTCTGAACCGTGCAAAGGGATTAACAGCATTGAGTCTCACAGGTGCTCATGCAAATTTGTTTGCAAAACATTAATGCAAATAATTGATACTGTATTCAAGTTCATATACATTTTAGGGGGGGTATTACTCTGTCCTAAGGAGGGGACAGTCCTTTGTTCCAACTGAACTGACCAAAAAGCTTTACTACACCTCAGCAAGACATTCTATGACACAGAGACAGTTGTCTCATACTGTGAATCACACCATGGACAAAATTTCCACAGCAGTAACAGAAGCTGAAGGAATAGCTCTACATTTTGTTTTCAGAAGATAACATTTAGAAAGGAGGTAACAGCATACAAAGAAAACAATTCCTTTCCCTGCTTGCAAGTTCTGTTGTTTACAAAAACTCCCCCAAGAAGCAGGACAAAATCTACTGCAAGATAACTTGCCCTTGGCTGCGGCCTTGAGACAACGTAGCTGTAGATCCTGTGGTCGGCTGTATTGACCTGCAACGGCCGCGACGGAGGAGGATTGAAGACACTTGGGACACCCTCTTGCTCATTCAGTCGGTCCTGTACAGCTGCCTTTGACACAAGAAGCAGCAAAGGGAGGTTTCAGACATTTAAGGCAGGCAGAGAATTTTTTTTATATATTTATTGGGACACTGACAGTAGGTATTATTTGTCCACAGTCCCAGAGCACTGGATAAGCACAACTCATTACGAACCGTAACCACCAAGACTTTTCTGTACATAAATACCGTGGCAGCCTGCACACACACACTAGGAGGTTACACAGTGTGCCGGTCCAGCGATTGTTCACAGCCGTTACTACTCTGCTGTGTACTTCTGAAACGAGCTCTATAGATGTGTCAAGATACCGTTAGAAAGAGCTACTAGTGTAAATTCAGAGGTTGACAGACTAAATCTTACTGGTAGGGCCCCCACTCCCTGCAGAGTACTCTGTTTAATCCAGTCGCTTGGGAACAGCTACGAATCTTATTTGCAGTGGTACCTCTATGTTCCAGTTGTGCTGCTCCAGCGTGTGACGACATTGGTCCATGGACTCTATGCCAGTCAAGTCCTAAAGAAGGAGAATACAAGCAGATGAGTGACAGGGAAGTGCTGTATTTTTACTGTTCTCTGCAACACATGAGCACAGACAGCAGTTACCGCAACACACTGCCACAATACTCTTTTTTTAAAGCACTCTGCTCTCAGTTTAAGAGCAGAGCAACCTGAGCCAACCCAAATCCGTAAACACACGGGTGGCCTCAAACAGGCCTTTGCACTCTTCCAGCATTCGCCAATTCTCAGCAGTGCCCAGGGTCCATTACTGCAACTACACTCAGCCCAGTCAAGGGTCTAACAATGTTGCCCACAAGTTTCACTCTGGAAGGATATGCCAGGCCAATGTCCTTGAACATTACCTTAAACCATCAACTTAAGACAGGCAAAACATTTCTGAAGACCCAAGATGATCACTACTTCACCCACTGCAAGCATAAACAGAGACTAAACCCAAAACAAGCCAGGCACTAATGAAGGTAGTGTTTTCCAGCATCATGGGGGTATTCTATAGTTAAAAAAATATCATCTAGTCCAACACAGAGAGGACCTGAAACAGAAAACAGTCCAAGCACACTAGCCGACCTCAAAGCCACTGAGCTCTCACATCAATGTTTGAGAAGGTGTATTTTAACCCCATACCAATCATAACTTCTGCCCAAGAGATCAAACAACAGGATTTGTTATTACAGGAAGCCATGGCAGCATCTCTTGAATGGAGGCGAATCTTCCCCGAAGTGAACACCCCTGTCACTACCCAGCACAAACATCCCTCCCCGCACCGCTTGCTGCAAGGTGCTCAGACATGTCAGGGTTAATTACCACAATTATTGCCACAGAGCCAAAGGACACACTTTCACAGGAAAGCGTAAAGCCACAAATGTGCTGCTGCTACCCTTTTAACAAGCAGCCAGTGGAGGATCATGACAGGTGACACCATTAACACTGGCAATTTTAAAGGAAACTACTGTTATTTTAAAATTAAAAGGAGTAAAAAGGGTTTTTTTTATAACTGGGCTACAGAAAGCTAAGAAAACGGTTATGCCTTCAGAAACAATTATTTAGGTCGGATACATGACAGCAGAAGCAATGACAATAATTGTCACAAGTACTGTAACGAATTATACAAAAACGTGCTGGTGATATACAGAGATTCTTGAAATACGATAGTTTCTTCAGCAAGGTCGTTCTTGGCAAGAAAACTCCACAAATTCTTCATGCTTCATATTATCACCTGGTGGATTTCTCTCCAGACACCTCCCTGGGCAGCTGGTGTAACACTACAGAAGATGCACATCCCTGGCGGCTCAGGGATGAGCTGAGAAGTGAAACAGGCTGCTCTCCCACTGGGCTGCTACCTGCTGTGACAGGTGGAGCTTGATGACCTACAGAGGCTGAGAACTGAGCTCCACGAGAGCCTTGCCTGTCCTCTGCCTGCCAGTTCCATGCACTGAGATGTCAGCCACGCAGGAGTTGGGCAAAGAGCAGGGAACTTCTGCTCCCTGTGTCTGTCACGCAGCAGAGCACAGCTTTTCCGCAGGAGGCAGCCCATCATGATTGCTAACACAGAGCAGCAACTTGATATAAATCCTTGTGCGCGGTTTCCATTACACCTTGTGATCCAATCCATTGTCAGCAATCCCATTTAATTCTGCTTATCTCCATTTCTTGCTTGATTCAAAAAACCCTGAGGCAGTCTTGACAAGCTGACCGTTTAAGAATCCACTGATCTGTTTTTTTTTTTTTTACTGAAGAAGGATGGTGCATCTGCTCCCTTCCCTACCCTCCTTCACGCATTCCACATGATATTTCCACCTCAGACACTGTGGACAAATGTCCTATTAAATCTCTGGGGTCAGCTCAAACTTTCGAGCATTTCTTGGCTTTTCTCATGAAGTCTCCACAGATCTCTGACCTTCTCTCCAATCTACTGGGCAAAAATAACTTCATTCTGCTGTACAGAATCAGACTGTTCAAAGCGTTGCTGACATCAACTACGCGATTGCAGCTGCTCAGAAAAAAGCACTTTGAGTCACCGCCCAGTGGTATATAAATACTTACTAAAAAGTAAGTCTGCAGCAAGCCTTGCAATGGAGCACTACAGAAGTGAACTTGATAGAAGAAGTGAAGCTCAGTGAACTCAGCTGTTGCTGTCAGAATACCTTCATTTATCACCCAGCTTCATGATTTAGTGTTTCGGTTTAACTCTATTTCTTTAAAGATGTGCTTCACTGAGTAAAATTTAGGTTTTGTATTCTGAATTTTTACTCCGCACTCCTACAGGAGGCACTTCATTGTCCTTTTAGGAGGACATTTTAAAAGGCACCTGCAATTTACTCAACTATTTGATTTTACAATGGAGTCACAATGTGTATATTTCAAAGCCTTGAAAGTCTTTTCATCACCATTCATTAACACCCTGGAAATTCTGCTGGTGTTTGCAAAATTCACAAGATTGAGAAACTCATACACACCTTTGTCTCTAAACACCTGGATTATCACTCAGCAGTAGTAACAGGGCTTCACAACTGAACATTCCCTCCTTTTTAAATTATGCAAAACGCTTTAGCAGTTTCAGGTCAGAAAGCAGCACCAAAGTAACAGCCAGGCAGAACTATGGACAAGCATGGAATGAGCACTGGATCACTGCAGCACTTGGAAGACCTACTGAGCTCCACGGAGACGAACTACAGGCTGGCTGCCTTCACCCCTTCCCAATCACCATTACAGCAACGGGCACACTGCTGGTCAGATCTCAGTCCTCCGCAACAGCACTTCTCCGTGGAGGTGAACCCACTTTTTTCTTAGCGTCTTTGTACAGTTGCCCTCAACAAGAAGCAGAGCTGACAAAACCACCCCAGCAGCACCATGCCTAGAACCCCCCCATCTCTTCTGATCAGTGAAGCTGCACGATTAAACATTGCAGGAAAAAGAAGTTGCCTGTATAAAGGCAGCTTTTAAAACTGAACACCTTTTTGAACGTTATTTTGACATGCTCCATCAGACAGACACACTACAGCTCTGGGATGTTCTGGAAGACACATTCAGGTTCAGAACGACTTGCACTCAGTGTAAAGAACTGCAGGAAGACAGTTCAACTGTCAGTTTAGACAATGCTTGCTGGTAAACAGAGATACTGCTCTTTATCACTCCCAACGACCATTTATACTGTCATCTCAGTACCTTCTACAGCCACTACCTCACCTTAGTCACAAAAACAGATTAACAACTTGAAACACCACATCGTCTCCACTGCACCACTCAACAGCGTTTCTGGTGAATCTCGTAGCCAGCTGCAAACTGCTTTATTCACACACCAGGAAAATGTGTGCGTTCCTAGTACAGTTAAGGCTAAGAGAACTAACAGTATCTTCAAGTCAGTCACTAACTGCTAGTTTCCTACCCACTTTAGTCTCTCATTAGCTGCCTCAAAGAGCATACATCTTATATAGACATAGTAAGTAATAAAAAGATAAGGCACCCCGTAGTTAAAATTAATCCCATTAAACTAGCACCCTCAAACCTTCAATAAATGTAGATCCAAGCTCACGACAGTGGGTAATATTTAGAAAACAAAATATTAAGTACCACAAATACCAGGAAAGTTCAACACTGCGTTCTCAAACAACACTCAAAGCAGAGTGACATCCTAAAACACACTGAAGCTGCTGCTGGAGATAATTATTTGCATCTCTCACCTTTGAGACTGCTCAGAATGCTAAAATCTTCTCAGCACTGAAGTAGTGGAAAGTGCAATTCCAAGCTTCAAAGGCAGAAGGAACATCCCTGAGCAGACAAAAGTTGTAAACTGGACTTACAAAACCGTTTCCTCTGCAGATATACTTGTATGTTGAAACACAGCGTAAGAGATGCAAATCCACAGGACTGTAACTGGCACTGCTCTTAATTCCCAACCCACTGCCAAATTCCAGAGAATTATGTTTCCAACAGTAAAGAGCATCTGACTTCAGGCAGCAAAAAAGCTTTCACTAAGAGAGTTTCTCTTTGCATGTTACAGCAAATGCCTTCATGAGGGTTTTGATTGATACATAGTACACTGAGTAGGAAAGATCCTGGAGTTTCTTGCTTTCCTCCTTCCTCTTTAAATCAGAAATGTTTTCAGTCCTGAGCGTTTTGTTTTCTCTAGCTGAAATTAGAGAAGCGCTAACTTTTTCCTTTGCAAATAACACTCCATTACATTAGCATATTATAACAGTGGACATCAGCCCAAGCCTAATGGGCACAGATCAATAACAAGATCCTACAAAAGCTGCTCTGCTGTTTCTGCCATCTCCTAAATGGAACTCTATCTCCATAGCTTAAGCTGTTCACATCAAGTTTCCCTCTACAGATGTCAAAACCGCCAAGTCTTGATAGATGAAAAATTTAGATGCTTTTATTTCTTTACATCAGTAGCCAACGCTTCGGCAGTAAATGGGAGGCTGAAAGCACGCAAGAGTGCTTTCATTTCAAGTTTATCCCAATTATCTCTCCATATTGATACTTTTCTTTTTATGCCATTAACCTGCCACAGCAGGGTGGCAGACAACTGCCCTGTTCCAGCCCTGTCGGTGGCGAGAGAGCTGCTGCATTCACCATGCTGCCAGCAGAGCTGTTTGTAAGAGCACTACCAAAACACATCATGCAAGCATTAGTGGAATTAACGCAAAGCACGTATTTAAACTGTATCTCCAACAGCTTGGGCCACAAACAGGACAGCAGACATTCACCTCTAACTTTGAAGGAGCAATTTCCAGCAGAAGTAGGATAAATAGCACATCTTCACCCAGAACAGCTGTTTGCCAGGTAAATGGCAGTCCACAGCTCTTGCTCAATGCTTCCCTTGTGACTCTCTACTTAACTGTAACGCTACTGAGGGCCTTCTGCTGTTGTTTACCTCATCTTTGTTATCCCCATTCCCTCCTTTTGTAGTCCACTCTGGCTTTATTCACATTGCAGTGGCTTGCTGCCTTCCATGTAGTACAACGCTCTGCCACCACAGAGTATTGTACAA